TATATATATATATATATATATATATAAATAAATATAAATAAATATACTTACCCAATTGTATTAGATGTAGATACAGCCCCTGTAAGAATAAATGTTAGACATGTACTAAGAAGAAGTACATCTACAAGAATACAATTCTGAAAAAGTAGGCCCGTATTATGATGAAGAATAACAACATAAAAAAATAATTCTACACTATCTGCAACTAGCCAGAAGGATGCACCTTGTTGTCCAGGTACATCTACTGTTATTGTTACTCCTCCTCCTCCTCCTTCTTCTTCTTCTTCTTCTTCTTCTTCTTCCTCTTTTTTGTCTCCTTCTCCTCCTCCTATTGATGTATTATTGTCTCCTAATGTATCTGTAGATAATCCTGCTAATAAACTGTCTCCTCCTCCTATACTATCTGTACCTATGATGGATCTATTATTTATTATTCCTCCTGTTCCTGATGATCTTCCTGCTGCTCTTGCTGCTGCTTCTCTTCTTGCTGCAGCACGTGCAGCAGCAGCAGCAGCAGCAGCAGCACCTCCTGCTGTATTATTTACTATATCTATACTATAATCATCATCAGATAAACGTCTCCATGTAAAAGGCATTGTCTCCTCAATAGAGGGAGGAGAAGTGTTGTTATTGGTGGGGTTGTTGTTAGTATCTATATGATTATTATTATTGCATGCACCTGCTGCACATGTTGCTCCTCCTCCTCCTCCCCCTCCTGCTGCTGCTGCTGTTGTTGTTGGTGCATGATAAGTATATGGTGCTGCTGCTGCTGCCTTAGGGCTTAGAAAGGAGACAGGGGAATCAAGAGACACATTAGTTGGCATACGTACTGTCCTTCCTCCTCTTATATATGTTAGCATATCTTGTCCTAATGCAGATGTTTGTAGGGCAACACCAGGAGACAGTACAGAGGAGACACCTGTTATACTACCATTATTATTATTACCTATACCTCCTATACTATTTATACCACCACCTATTCCTGTTGCTGCTGTTGCTGCTGTTGCTGCTGTTATTCCTCCTCCTACTCCTACTCCTACTCCTACTCCTACTCCTCCTCCTCCTCCTCCTGCTGCTGCTGCTGTAGATATTGTACCCATAGATATATTACTGTCTCCTGCCTGTCTTGTTGTTGTCCCTGTTGACCAACTATTACTTAATGCAAATACACAAGCTGCAGATATAAATAATATATTTAATAAAAAAACCATCCATCTTATCTCTAATCTAGATGCAACCTGTATACACATAAAAAATAAATAAATAAATAAATAAATAAATAAATAAATAAATATATATAATGTATACCAAGCAAACAAACAAATACACAAAAAGAGACAAAAAAAAAAAAAAAACAAACAAATATATATAATGTATGTAGTTTTCCTCCCTATACACCCCAATACATAATACAGATATATATATACACAATAATACATAAAAAGAAATAAACAGAAGGAGAGACAGATATATACAGTATATAGTACAACAAGAGACAGATACATCTAATAACAATAACAACAACAACAACAACAACAACAACAACAACCCTGCATCTACACACTACATATACATATAATGCATGCATGCATGCATATATAATGGATACATGCATATATGCATGTATGCATGCATGCATATATGCATGCATGCATGCATTTATGTGTATACGTACCTCATCCCTATTCCTATAATGGAAAAGTATCCATAGAAGGAAAGCAACACAAGTATAAGTTGCGCGTACACCCCAATAGAGTTGTGAGGAGATATGTACAGTATATTTAATATTATCTACAATTTGTATATAATTCCATGGTAAGGATAAACGTACTAATGTCTGTATAGTAAAAAAAACAAGAAATATTATTATTGCTTGCTCTATTGTATTTATATTACTTTTATTATTATAAAAAGATGTCCTGTATCTACACTCTAAATTTCTATCCTTAAATCTCATCAATAATAAACTTTCACGGGATACACCTATACGTCCATCTCTACTCTCTGCATCCATCCATGCATGCATGCATGCATGCATGCACACACACACACACACACAAATAAATATATTTATATTTATTTATTTATTTATTTTTTTTTTTTTTTTTTTTTTTTTTTTTTTTTTTTTTTTTT